TTTAAAAACCGGATTTTGACGGTGGAAATTCTCGAAAATTTTGCGTTTTTGAAAATTCGAGCGTTTTTTCTCCTGAATTTTTTCGAAATTTTTTTTAGCACACTAAGCGTATCTTACCCTCAAACTGCAACTTCCGGACTCAAGTGATCTCAAAGAGACCTAATCATAACACCATTCAAATTCGTTATTTCATTAAGAATTACTATTTCGTTATTTATCATTAATTAATTTTACTGATTAAATCGTTAGTAAATTCTTATTACGAATTGTGGAGTGATTTACGGGAAATTTATTTTTCTGTTTGATTAGGTGTCTACAGTCCATCAGTGGGACGGGATTGTATGTATATTGCTTGATTGTTCTACCCCTGTTCCCACTCTCCCTGCCCCCCTGTATTCTGTGAACACCGGCACCTCTCAAGTACCGCATCAGGTCAGACTGATGTCGATGGAACAGGACACCGGGGCACTGCCACGGCGCATAGCCAGGATCGCAGCTCGTGCCCGCCCTGCGGTACCTCCAAGACCCAAGAGATTCAGCAGACGGACGACTCCAGCGGCATCAAGTACGACATTGACAGTACAAGACACCACCGGAGATCTTCCCGCATGCCCGGTCCAAGAGGCCAGCGAGCCTTTGGCTGACTATCGTGGGCGGCTACAGGCATTTACAGACGCCGTAGCCGCCGCCGAGGCTCAGCAGGCTGCGGCAGAGGCAGAACGTCAGCGGCTGGCCAATGAGGCGGCAGCCGAAGCTCAGCGGACAGCTGAGACTAACGAAGCGGCACGAAACAGACGGAATGCCGCCAGCACGGAGTCCCTGATTGCTAGTGAGCATCAGTGGACAACGGTACTCCAAGGCATGATCTTTGTGCCTACGGAAACGCAGGTGGAGCCGACACAGGCGGAGGCAGAGAGAAGTCACCTGGCTACCGTGATGTTGAACGTAACGAGGGGAGTAATGTGGAACAACAAACTACTGCAGGCACACCTGCACGCGGAACGACAGTAAAAACAGCAGTACCAGCAAGACCTGGCCGCTGTTACGGCCGGCGTGCGCGACGCAGCAATGCAGCAGCAGCAACAGCAACAGCTGATGAACTCTACCATCGCACGCATCAACGGCATTGAGGCCAAGGCCTCAGCAGCGCCAGGCTGCACGACGGACGCGACGAAGCAAATCAACGAACGCATCGATCACGTCGTCACCATCATCGGCGACATAGGTGTTTTCAACGGACCAGACACGATCAGCAGCACGGTGGCCGCCATCAAGACTGACATCACCAAGCTACAGACGAGACCGGACGCCGCTACAAAGATGTTCAAGATGCCGCACTTCGACATCTGCAAGTTCGACGACTACAACAAGTCGGACGCTTTGACATGGTGGCAACGTTTTCTCACGGAAGCGTCATGCCGCACTGTCCCGGCGAACGACATGTTGAAGGCACTCTATTTGCAACTGATTGGAGGAGCTCAGGCATGGATGAACCACCTGGCGGCCACCCACAAGTGCACCATCGCCGAACTCCACACGCACATCACGTGGAAGGAGTTCGAGCAGCTATGGTTCACCCGGTTCATGGTTCGCAACGTCGTGAAGGCAACCATGAATGAGGTGTACACATGCTCTCAGGGGAACATGCCAACTCGAGACTGGACAACGAAGTGGCAAAAGATAGTGACCACACCAGGCTTCGACTTGACGTTTCCAAATCAACGATCTGAGTTCTTCTCGCGATCATGCGCAGGATTGCGGTCGGCACTCGGTAACGAGTACGACTATACCACATTCCAGGCCATTCTGGATCGAGCGAACTTGGTCATCCAAACGGACGACAAGGCCGCTAACGAGAGACAATCCCAGCCGCATTATGTGGCTAAGCAGGCCTATCAACGTCCGGCACATAACAGTGCTGTGATTTTTTAGGAAACCGACGACCACCACGCTGCAGCAGCATCCTCGGGTGATGGAGGAATTGTCGCAGCGCTCCCGCCGAAGCGTCCCAAGAGAGTTCGTAAGAACAAGGCGACACAAGAGACGGCAGCGACGGGAGCTGGGCAACCATGGACGACATATAAGATCACCAAGGAGGTCTATGACCTACGTCAGAAGTACGGATACTGCCTTTGGTGCAACGGAGTCACTCATGTGACCGCACAATGCCCCGAAAAGGGCAAGGCACGCGTACCCCGTCCARCAAACTCGGGAAACTGAGTTACGCAAGGAGAGGGGCGACGTCTCTCCTCACTCTGCCGGACCCGGTTGCCTTGTTAGCAATCGATGTCACTACCGGGGAGCATGCGTTAGTCGCTGATTCTCGTGTTACGTACGAGGATTATGCCGCCCAGCTGGTACCACCATTAGACCA